CGGCCCACAGGACGCACGACTGGGGTCCCCACAGTGGTCTCCCCTCCAACCCGCGCTCCTGGAGCCTTAGTGGAGGCCCTGTGTGGTGCTCACCGAGGACAAGTAGTCCCGCGCCCAGCTCCGCTGGCAGCCCCAGTCTGGCCGCAGCCCATGCAGGGCCTCCATGGCCGCCACCTTGGCTTTGATCTGTGCCATGTCCGAGGGCGGGATGTTCTTGACGATCTGCCGGGCTCGCCACCTGCCCGCGGGAGCACAGCAGTCGTGGGTCAGCCGGGCATCCCTGGCACCGCCCCCACCACCACCCTGGGGCAGCTCCCCACAGGGGCCTGTGCTATGCAGGGGGGAAATGCAGCCCTGTGCAACACACCAGGCATGCACATGCATATGCACTTGTGCACGTGAATGAATAAGTATGTGCACACATGTGTGAGTGCATACACATGCACAGCCAGCCACATGTGCACACAAGTAGAGGCACATGCCCACGTGCATAGCATGGAGCCCTCCAGAGCAGGATGCCACATAACGGCTCCAGTGCACTGAAGGGACACACTGGGAGCAGGAGCCCTGGGCCATTGCTGGAGTGCTCGGCTCCCCCTGGGCTGATGTCCCCACCAGCGGCTCAGGGCCACTGCACGTCCACGTGGCTGCACTGAGTGTGGGGCCTGGGCTGGGGGACCAGAGGCCTGGGTTGTGATGGTGGTTCACAGGCAGGGCTGACTGGGGCAGCGGGTCCCATGGGGCAGGAGCTGGGCCGTGGGCAGGGGGCACGTTACCTGCGGAAGAGCTGCTGGCTGTGGTCCTGGAAGCGGGCGAGCACGGCGGGTGGGGGGGGCCAGGTCACGCTACGGCCGTAATCAGGCATGGTGCGCACGCCCTGGAAGCGCCGGCACAGCTCGCGCAGGTAGGCCCGCACCTTGTGCCGCCGGAAGTGGTCCATGATGGTGTAGATGGCGCGCAGCTGCCGGCATCGCCTCCGCGCCAGGGCACCTCGCCATGCCTGCAGCACATGCCCACCCGCTTGTCACAGCCCAGCCCAACTAGGGAGGGGGAGACGGCAGCCACTTGCCCCCCACCCCCAGTGGTGGCCGCATCCCACCCCAGAGGCGGCTGCAATTGAGTGACTCCGCGGACAGACAGGACCCCTAGACCCTGCCCCCCTCCTGCACTGGGGGCAAAACCCAGGTGTCCTGACTGTCAATACTGTCCGCACCCCCGCAGACTCCCTGGACCCCGTTCCCCTCCCGGGCATCCTGACTCCCAC